AAAAAGAAAGCAAAAAAAGAATGTCGCTCTACTAGCCTACTTGTACATCGGTGAACTGTTTTTCTCTCATTCCTTGCAGAACAGATGATCATTGTCAGTAAAATCATCCTCCTTTCCGCCTTTCTTTTCTTTGGCCTTCTGCTAACTTTTCTCCAATGGACTAATATGTAAATGACATGATCGACATGCGTATCTTTCTTCCACTCAACCATTGAAAGTACCAAAGAGAATTTCCCTTGTTCTTTATTTCTGATGCGGTCAGACTCTGTCAGAGCTGTGCTTGGTAATCTTGCTCTGCTATTGTTAGGAATTAAGAATTTTGGTTTGTACCAACGAGCCTAGCTCAGTCGTTACACCCGCAAACTGTTGAAATACAGACCGAAGTTCAAATCCAGATGATGGAACTAGGTGAATGAAACAGATATCTCTGAATTACCTGAGGCCAGTTGGCTCTATGATGATATCTGAGGGCCGTTGCACTTTTTTTTTTAACAGGTCCTTGCAGCCCTGGCTCCATTTCCATTCTGGGGAGCATCAGTTCGGTTCCTATTCCACCGGCAAGTCAGAAAGAAATATTACATCATGACACACACTCACGCTTCCTTCCGTCCGGCCGAAGGAACCCTGACCAGCATTGAAAGAAAAAAAACAAAAAGAAGTAACAGCACCCGGAGCGCGCACTAGGGAAGGTTGCTCGTATCACCCCCCCTAGTGATGCTGATCTGGCTTTTTGTATTAAAAAAAAAAAAAGAAGAAGTAATTTTGGTCTGTGTGTGTCAATTTGGATATTTGTCTTTGGTTTTCCTCTGTGTCTTTGGTTTGCCTGTCTGACTTCTTTGGGGCCATTTGTCTTGAACAGAACTCTTCTGTCATTGTCGTTACATCTCCAAGTTTACGGCATGAGCTGGTGACAACATTGGACAAGTAAGTGCATTCAATTCCCAAGTACTAAGACAAGAGTTCCAAAACACGGATCGATGCATCAAAGTCTGTCGCCCCGTTTAAGTGTTGTATTCAATTTGCTTTCTGCTGCGTAGGACTGCATCGTTCATTGCGCGCTTCTACTTCGCTTTCTGCTACAGTGCATAGTACTCTTTGGAATGTCTACACAGTAGGATGATAGTACATAGCACTCTTCAGAATATCCACCTTTATTCCAAAAGCCGTGAACTGTAAATTGCAGTATCATATTCAATATCTTTTCCATTCAATTCTTTCTAGAATATCTCTTTGTTTCCCAAGTTGGGACACGTTCCTGGTCAACCGAGCTTAACCCCACACCCTGTCTCTTATACACATCTAGATGTGTATAAGAGACAGCCCCTATACCACCCCCACCTGCCCCCCCGGTCCCCAGAAGTTTCTCAACGTTTTTGGGCTGTACTCAGCAAGTGCAGTACAGCCCCAAACTCAGATTTGACAAAAAGTCAGTGGATGACTGTTTTCTGACTGGTCGGCAGACCGCCTACCAGTCGGCCCTACTGGCCGGCTGCAAAACGATCGGTGGTTGGGGTCAGCGGTCGGCAGGTATGCAACCCTGGGGTAGGTGATGAAGAAATCTTGCAAGGCTGAGGCCGAGTACTGGTGGTATAACAATGATGATGGGGAGCACTGAGTGTGTATGGTAACTTACTTCTATATATCTGTCAAACTTCTTAAAGCTTTACTGCCAGTGGAGAACCAGGGCGATACTGTCCACATTGTCCACAATAGGATGGATCCATTTTTCATTTGGAAAGAAATGGAAGGAGCTAGACTGGTGTCTTATTTCCACAGTCATCCTATCATATGTTTTTGGCAGGTATATTTTCTTTGCGGATAAGGTCAAGGTGGAAGACATAACTGACCGGACTGCAATGCTATCCATCATCGGGCCCAAGAGCGGGGAGGTGTGTGTGATCTTTGTGATGGCATTTCAACTTTTTCAAGTCCATAACATCAATCAGAACAAGTGCAAAGATAATAAAAAACTAGACTAGTACAATTGATAAGTGTTAATGATAATTAGTAATTGCTGATTGGTAATTAATAAGTTAATAGCATGATAATAACAACAAGCTTCTGCCCACACCGCGGTCAATGTCCACACAAAAGAGATCATGAACACAACGAAGTCCTCTGTAAGAAACATATGTGCACCATATTTTGGTCGCCATCAAAAACCCAATGATCTCTCTCTCTCTCTCTCTCTCTCTCTCTCTCTCTCTCTCTCTCTCTCTCTCTCTCTCTCTCTCTCTCTCTCTCTCTCTTCCCCTTCCCTTTGGCCACTGGATCCACAGGTAATAAAAGACTTCTTCCGATTTATTTGTTTAAAAAAAAATCAAAATGAGGCAGGACATACGAGATTTGGTTCTTTATATTTGAATCTTCTTTTTCCTTTTCTTTTCTTGTATTTGTTGAATTATTTATTTTTGTTCTCGTTTTTTTCCTTCTTTTGCAAAACGCAACTCATGATTACAAACATTTCTTTTAATTTTTCTTTCTGGCCCTTTCCAATAAAGAACGGCTCGAAATTAAATGGAAAAAAAGTAGCTCAACGAGCCATACATGGCATTTGGTAACATAAAAGAGCTGCCCAAATTGAGACAGGGACCCAGTCTACCTCAATCATGCTCAATGGTTAATTCGCCTTTCTTTTGCTACTTCAAGTTCTGTGTGTGAATTCAAATCCCAGGTCCAGCAACATATGAAAACTGTGTGCATGTGTGTGTGTGTGTGTGTGTGTGTGTGTGTGTGTGTGTGTGTGTGTGTGTGTGTGTGTGTGTGTGTGCCGGGTGCATGCATGCATCCGTGTGTGCGTGTGCATGTGTTGCATGAGAGTGTGTGTTTGTGTGTGCATGTGGTTGGGTGGTGTTCAAAACCCAGGTCTAGTAGAATTGTCTGCCTTATATGCAGCGGATATGGGTTCGATTCCCGCTGTCCGCAATTGCAGCGCCATTGCGTGGACCATGTTGGGAATGCAGCCCCACTGTTTTGACTTAGTCAGCCCATCCCATGCCCCACTGCGTTGAGATATTCCTCATCCATGATGAATTCGGGCACGTGATGAGCTTCACCTATTTTGTGAATCTTGCGATGTATACGCCCATTAGTTGAGCAGTGATAGGCAGAAGAACTGATAGCTTGCTACATGTGACTGCTTGATGAAAAGATATGCTCACAACGAGATTAAAGCCTAACATCCTGTGTATGTATTGATAGGCTGTAGTCTCACAGTGAGCATTTGATGGGTTTTTCACAAACTCAAATGCTCACAAGGACTAGTTTGTTGAAGTAAGACCAGGGGTAAATCTTTCGAAATGGAAAATGCCTCTCAAAATTTCAATCATATATGCTAACAAGTAAATGGTTCTTCTGTGTTCCACCAACAACCTTAAGATGCCATATTCACGATGAACTTGGACATTGCGGTGCCACCATACCTCTTGTTCTTCATTGCGAGGCTACTCTTGGTGGTGGCCATTGTGGCATTACGGCTGTCTGTGTTTGGTTCCTTACACTAGGGTCTGGCCTTAAGGTTTAGTTCAATGATTTTCTGATGTGCTAATCCATTGACAGCAAGAAATATTGTCATTAACAAGGAGCTATATTCCCTCCTAGGTACTCTTGATTTTGAGATTTTCATGGATTTTCATGTGTTCTCATGGATGCAGATTTTGGAGGACATGAAAGCAGAGGCAGTTGTGGGGACACCTTATGGAACCAACATGCATTTTGAGGTATGCATTTTTTTTCCATGTTTTAGGTGCTTAACCCCAAGTGCAGAAATTGTGTTGTGTTGTTGTTGTGGTGCTGCTGCCACCACCGCCACCACCACCGCCGCCACCACCGCCACCACTGGTGCTGCTGCTGCTGCTACCGTGGTCACCAATCCTCCTCCTGCTGCAGCTGCAGCAGTGGCCGCTGCCACCCCCATGCTGCTGCTGCTGCTGCCTCTAATGCTGCTGTTATTGTTGTTGCCATTGTCATCATCTTCGGTGTGGTTGGTGGTAGTGCTGGTGGCGTTTTGCTTATGTGGGGACCTTTTCTTTTGATCAACATGTGATGTCCGTTGAGATGTACATCCTCTATATGCTCGGTTCATTTCAGTTCATTCTTCTTTTTTTTCTTTTTTTTTTCCCAAGAAACTTGAAGAAAGGGAGTATTATGCAAGGAAAACGAGCAGTGGCGAAATGACAGAAATCCAGAATGCAAAATCACATTGAAAGCCAGAAAGTCCAACGCTGTCCAGAAAGCAGCAATGCACTGATATACCACCAACAGAGAACCAAAGCACTGAATCCGAATGTCAATGAGAACATACTCTCGCCACCACCAACATATGTATCCAGAGTCCTTCCTCCAATCTGGCGCTCAGCGCCCAGACTACTACTATACAGCTACTACCAGCCTACAAATTGACAATGCGTCCCGTTGACGTCAGCAGCAACAACCGAAGTGCATGAAGATGTGGACCTTGTAGACCATTGCCAAGACCAGGTACGTGCTCTCACATCATCAACCTCGTCTCTCTCTCACTCGCCCTCGACTTCTACTCCCACGTCTTCCTTCTCATACATGAAGACCACCACCACCTCCACTGGCTATGTCCAAGCCCAGCCCCTGCTATGCGGGGCTGGCTATGGCGCTGCCCTCAGCAGCGCGCTGCCTTCTCGCACGACCGCACGCATGCGCACACTTGCCCACCCATTAGTTCAGCAGCGCTGCCGCATCTCTTGCTAGTCCCCAAATCCTGAACTCGGAGCCCGGCCCTTTCCTGTACGGAAAGTGGCGGGCAAATTCCACTTGCTTCCCATGTGAGACCAAGTTTCCAGTAGCTTCAGTCTTGGCCAAAGTGTCTGCGCCCAGGCCCGTTCAGACAGTGGCCTGGGACCGAATTGGTTAGGCATGCCCAACCGCCCAGGCATAAACGTGCGGCAACGCGGATGTAACCAACTGGCGCGTGGCGACTGTCTGGCGCCCACTCAGGGCACATTGAGATTCAGGGGGGCGGCCTTCACTTAGGGCGGGCACGCGCCTGCTGCAAGGCCTTATGCCGAGGGGTAAACCCTCACAATTACTGTAGCGTCTATAAATTCTCAATGTCACGCTATTTCAAGGCTGGAAAGTGGGTCCAGTGTCCATTACATCATTACCCGCTCAACGCTTCTGTCCGTTATGGCCAGGAGACCTCGATGCAGCAGCATTGGTTGCTTCCTCAGCAGGAAGAATGTACTAACGGCTCGCCCCCTGTTCCTTTTGATCTATGGCGTTCCACTAAGTCGCTGTGAATCCGCTAAGTCTCTGTGAATCCTGCCTGCTAAGTAACTCCTTTCATCCTTCTCCGCTGCCAGAATACCTCGTTAAGTACAAGGGTAAGTACAGACTCTCTGAGCTGCCTCTTTGTTCCCAGTGCCCTTTACATCCGGCACACACACAGCGCCGCCCCTGAGGTAGCAGTATTGATTACTTCCTGTAACAAGAAGGATTTGCTACCACTCGAGCCCTGCTTTTTCCTTTCCTTAGTCTTCTTTTGTTTTGTTTTGTTTTTCCCTTATGGCCCTGGCTCCATATCCATTCTGGGGAGCGTCAGTCCGGTTCCTATTCCAACGGAAAGGCAACTTTCCCTTCCATCCCAGTTCCTAAAGACCGCTCACCTACGTGGACCCGAACTGGGTGGTCCCTCTCAGACCACTGTTGTGGGCTGCTGGAATTGACAATTGAACCAACGACTCCCCAAAGGTGTCCTCTCCAAAGGTGTCCCTGCGAAGAGATTGGCTATGCGGATTCTGTTTTATCCTTGAGAGATACTAATCTTTTATCCTGTCCTTCCAGTGAGATTACTGTTTCTGAAATATACTAGTTGAGTTCTCCATCTAGATACTCCAATTGTTCATGCCTTTCTGCTGGAAGTGACTCAGCAGTCCCGCTACAGCAAGCTGCAAAGAGAATAGTGTTGCCTTTGGGTTGTGCTAAACAACTTCACCATTGCCTCACTGTTTCTCTCATCCTAAGTCTCCTGCCATCAGTCTCTGGAAAAGAACAGTCTATGATTTCTAGTCTTATGAAATATCTATTGCACCCCCCCCC